TCGCGCAAGCGCGCGGCTCTGCTGCTCCAGGGCCATGCCGCTCGGGCGCGGGACCGCGGCGACGACCCCCGCCCGACGCGGAGAAGCGCGAGAACCCTGCGCCGGTCGCGCCGGCAGACGGCGGACGAGGAGCGCAAGATGCGGAGGCGGCGGCGCGAGCTGGCGCAGTCGAGCGCGAGTAACGGGGATGGTGCGAGCTTGAGCCGCGAGGGCTCGGTGGTGGATGGCCATGGTGGCAGGGGCGATGAGGAGGTGCCTCCGACACCCGGGCTGGATGAGATGGCGGCGGCTGTGGCGGCGGCTGGGGTCGATGGGCCGGAGCAAACGGTCAATGAGGGGTGATGGGTTAGGATTGGATGGGATGGGTTGGTTTGTTGGTGTGGTGTTGGGTTGGCTGGGTGTGGAAAGAAAGAGCAGGACGGTTGGATGGACGGATGGATACAAATACCTGAGCAGATTAAGTACGTAATGTCTACTTGGGCTTCTGTTCGTCCTAGATGGCACATATCACTACGACGAGTTGCTCCTAGGTTGGGGGGTAAGAAAAGAGACTTAGGGTGGTTGGGAGGATGGAGGTGCTTTGAATCACAAACAGCAGCGTGTTATTTGGCGAGGTTTGGTATCTGGAATATGGGATCTGGCTGCATGGCGGCTGCTGGGGACTGTCTTGGATCTTGAGCCGGATGAGTTGAGTACAAGACAATTACTGAATGTTATTTTAAACTCCCGCCCACGATACATGTGATGAGTGATATGTGGAGGGCTTGAGTCCTCTGGCTTCTCCGGCTGTACCCGGGAAACGTTACCATAGGTACCTGAACGGTCGTGACCTGAAAACAAGCAGGATCCTGCAGGGAGTTGCCGAGACCGTGGAACCACATCAACCGCTTTGACATTCCACGGATCATCAAGTTTCATGCAAGGAGACCATCGGCTGAGTGTGACACCTGAAAGGTTCCCATGTTTCGTAATTAGCCGCGAACATCACCCCCACTGTGGTGAGGGGGAGGGGGGCACGAAGCCGAAAGGAACGGCAAACCCCTCATCAAGAATGGTCCATGGATGTTTGTTCTCCAACTCTTGTGGCTCCACCCTAGGTGAAAGATGGGTGGAAAGGTGGGTGTAAGTTCGGGATGTAGCGCTGCGAGACGGAGAAATATGGGATTGGCTGTGTAAATGGGAGGTCGTGATATCGAAAGAGACATATTGTTTTCAAAGGTTATATCTTCTTCGTCTTCATCTTAAGTGTCTGGTAGAGCACTTTCTATCCTCCGTCTCTCATCCTCCATCTTCACTGCCCCACCCCCCGTGTTTGACAACTTCCACAGTCTCAACAACCCACACCCACACCCACTCCCATCCCGCTTGACTTACACCACCTTCACCACCACCACCACCACCACCACCACCACCATGTCCCCACCCCAACAACAACAACAGCCCACCCAGGGCCTGGTGCTAGGCTACACCAGCCCGCACCCCTTCTCCACCATCCCCCTCAGCGACCGCGCCTCTGTCCAAGCCCTCCTCACCACAATCCTCGACCCGCTCGAGCCGTTCTTCTCGCCGACCAAAGCGCGGGTGCGCATGCCGGGCGCGACGGCGGTGCGGTTCGACCAGACGGCGTCCGAGGTGGAGGGGTTCGCGCGCCCCCTGTGGGGCCTGGCGAGCCTGCTGGCGGGGGGCGGGACGTACGGCGGGGCGCGCTGGTGGGTGGACGGCCTGCGGGCCGGCACTGACCCCGCCAGCCCCGGAGTACTGGGGCCATCCGGCCGGATAACGATCAGAGGATGGGTGGCAGATGTGCCCCGATGGGTGTTCGCGCTTGGCGGGTGGGCGCCGGTGTTTTTGGGAAGGGGTTTGAGTGAAGGGGGAGAGGGGGAAATGTGGAGAAATTGGTTGGGGGAATAGTATTAATGAAGAAGAAAGTGAGTTGTTGTTTCTTTTCATCCTGTTTGGGTTAGCCGCGGTTTGGGGTTTTCCCGTTGGTGCGCGGGAGAGTGTGAAAAGTGGGGAAAGGGAAAA